AAAATCAAAGATAAAGATAGACTTCTAAAAACAACAAGAGAAAAGTGACAAGTCACGACTACAGCAATCTCATTAGACAAAATCAGATTTCCCATCAGAAACCTTACAGGCCAGAAGATATTGGGATGATATATTCAAAGTCCTACAAGAAAACAAAAACTGATTAAGAAGAAATAAAGTCTTGGGTTTAATAACGAGCATCAAAATACTTTTAGGAGAAATTACTTCTGGTGTTCTATAGTCTAGAAGGGAAACCACAGTCTCAAACAATCTATGAGATACTTAAAAACAGCTAGAAAAGTTTGAAGTTTCTCAACAAATAGGAATAATAAATGTTTGAGGAGATAGTCCTGTCCATGTCCTGTGATACTAATGCTAATTATTCTGATTTCCATCATTATACACTAGATACATATACAGACTTAGCATGCCCATAGGGTAAGTTAGAGTTACCATACTTTAACTTACCCTATGGGCATGGTAATGGTATTGTCTCTGACAGTTAACGTTTCTGGTTACATGATAAGATTTCATAATAACTGCCTTCCTTCTGGGAAGGCAACCTCAGAGAAAGTCGCCCTGTGCTTCTGGGAAGAAAGGACCAAAGACATTGAGGGACACAGCAGGTGTAGGGTAAAGAAGGCAAGAAGGTCAGAGAAACCTTAGTTCTGAGACTTCCTCTGGATCAGCATGTCAAAGCACAGCTTGGGGTATCATTTTTCTGAGCCCCAACACATTCATTTAAGAAGACATATACCTTTAGGAAATGTACCTTCAGGAGTCTATGATAACAGGCAAGATGGAACAGGAACATGTTACACTGGAGAGAGGGACGGGGAAAGAACAATCTAATCCAGGTCCCACTGTTCACTAGCTAGGGAAACACAGTGAGGTTTTTCCAACTCTATGATTATCATTGTGTTTATCTTTAAAATAAAAAGGTAATGTTTTGAAGGCTTGTAAAAGTTAAATGGAAGTGTTTATCTCTAGGGCCTATCAATGTCTGGCATCTAATGGGTTCTCAGCAGTCAGTTACTGCTTTAATAGCAATAAAAAATTACAAGTATAAGTAAAAATAACAAGAAAATAATCAGTGAATAATGGAGAAGTAGTATATTAAGGAAAATGAATATATAGTTCACAGAAAGAAAGGATCAGGCATGAAGTATGGAGTCAAGAATCAGGAAGTAACTTGGCTGAACATTAAAATCAAAGGAGATAAAAGAACTGCCAGAAAGAAAGAAAATTATAAATAAAGGTTTGGGAGCCTGAGAAGTTTGAGATTACTGGTGCCTCAGGCAGAATTATATAAACTGAGGTCAAAGTTTTGGAAAGAAAGTAAAAGGAAGACAGATTACTTGCTCAGCATTAGGTGAAGAGATAGCCTGACACCCTGGTTAGTCTGGGCCTAAACACATTTTAAGTGTTGTCAGTAAAGGAAATAATGATTCATTTCTATACCCATGAACAATCATAAAACTTTAAAAAGTCAGGCCTAATGAAAGAATTTATATCTACCTTAAAGGTATTTAGTAGGTTTTTCCTTTAAAGTTATACTCTACTAGTAAGAAGATTCTACTAAAATATATTCATGAATAGGCAAAATCATGAAATATTATAATTTCAATACTTGATCCATCTTTATTTATATCTATCAAAAATATATAAAGTACATATACCTATTACACAAATGACAAAAATAATCTAGAAAAAAGCAATCATTTTAATAAATTATGACACAATTTGTAAAGAAAATGACTTAAAACACATTTTAAACATAATAAAGATATGAATAGTTTCCCTTGAATACTGTTACTTTTGAAAAACAAATTTTTAAAAAACCTGAATGTTTTCAATAACTTTAAAAACTTTTCAAAGTCAATAAAAATGCATACAAAATGAAAATACTATTCCCCAGCTCCCTAAAAGAACTAGCAATAAAAAAGAGAAAATATCAAAAATTAAAAGGAAAAAATTAGAAAAATTAACAAATGGGATCAATAAAAACAAAGATATTCTTTGATAAAATTATATATTTCTAACAGGTACTAAAATTATGGCTTTCAAGATTGTTTTGAAAAAACTGAAAATCATGGAAATCTTATATTCCTGTCTGCTCAATGAAGCTCAAAAATGTTAAAAATGTGCTATTTTAATCATTCCACACTGTACCCAACATATTGACAATTTAAATCTATTAAAAAATGTTTCTCTTCTCACTTCAGTTTACTTCTGTCCTCAAATCTGTAGTTTTTCACAAATTTTAGAAGGAAAACAAAAAGAAAATGTTAGTTTATAAAGATGAATAAGTAAAAGAAGAGCAAAACAACAGCAAAAGAAGTAGAAGGCAAGAAATAATTAAAATCAGAGCTGAAATTAATGAAATCGAAACAAAAGAAACAATTGAAAAAATTGACAAAACGAAAAGTTGGTTCTTTGAAAAGATAAATAAAATTGACAGACCCTTAGCCATGCTAGCGAAGAGAAGAAGAGAGAGAACTCAAATTACTAGCATACGGGATGAAAAAGGCAAGATCACGACAGACACTTCAGAAATACAGAAGATAATTAGAAATTATTTTGAATCATTATACTCCAATAAAATAGAAGATAGTGAAGGCATCGATAAATTTCTTAAGTCATATAATCTGCCCAGATTGAGTCAGGAGGATATAGACAACCTAAACAGACCAATATCAATTGAGGAAATAGAAGAAACCATCAAAAGATTACCATCTAAGAAAAGCCCAGGACCGGATGGGTATACAGCAGAGTTTTACAAAACCTTTAAAGAGGAACTAATACCAATACTTTTCAAGCTATTTCAGGAAATAGAAAAAGAGGGAGAACTTCCAAATTCATTCTACGAGGCCAACATCACCCTGATTCCGAAACCAGACAAAGACACTTCAAAGAAAGAAAACTACAGACCAATATCTCTAATGAACCTAGATGCAAAAATCCTCAATAAAATTATGGCAAATCGGATACAAAAACATATCAAAAAAATTGTGCACCATGATCAAGTAGGATTCATCCCTGGTATGCAAGGCTGGTTCAATATACGGAAATCAATAAATGTTATTCACCACATCAATAGACTTAAAAATAAGAACCATATGATCATCTCGATAGATGCGGAAAAAGCATTCGACAAAGTACAGCATCCGTTTATGTTCAAAACTCTCGAAAAACTAGGGATAACAGGAACATACCTCAACATTGTAAAAGCAATTTATGCTAAGCCTCAGGCTAGCATCATTCTGAATGGAGAAAAATTGAAGGCATTCCCTCTAAAATCTGGAACAAGACAGGGATGCCCTCTCTTACCACTTCTGTTCAACATAGTTCTCGAAACACTGGCCAGAGCAATTAGACAGACGAAAGAAATTAAAGGCATAAAAATAGGAAAAGAAGGAATAAGTATTTAAATGTGGTAAAATTCATGCAAAATTATATTTTTAACCTTCTTTCCTATACAATAAACTCCAAATCAATTCCTATAACAAAAAAATCCTATAATCATAATAAATCATTAATTTTGTCTTTCAAACTAATTTTTCTGTTTTAAGTTGAATAAATTGAATATGTATATGCCTTATTAGAGAGTAGATAACTGTTTTCTAGTCTTGCAAAGAGTGAGATCCTAACAACAATATTTAAGGCTCTCCTATATGAGCTCTGTATGTTATGTATGATACTATGAGTTCTATAAATGCATACATTTAAAGCATTAGCATGTGTTATGGTTTAGATAAGTGACCCCGCAAGCCCCACATGTTAAGGCTTGGTCTTTCAGCCAGTGGAGCTATTGGGAGAGGTCTTCCATTTGTTGAGTATGTACTCCTGAAGAGGATATTGAGATCCTGGACCCTTTCTCCTTAATTTTTGTGTCCCAGCCATGAAGTAAGGATAAGGAGCTTTGCACGTGCTCCCTGCAAAAGCGAGCTGACTTCCCAAAGCTCAAAAACAATGAGGCCAACGGACCATGCACTGAAACATCCAAACTGTGAGTTAAAAATAAAGCCTTCCCTTTTATAAGTTGATTACCACAGGTATTTTGTTACAGCTAACATAAAGCTAACAGAGCATGTAAAATGGACATACACATTTACTTAGAGACAGCAGCCAATATGCTCATGCATTTAAGACTCTTCCAATAACTCAATAACCCTTGAACACATTCACATATGTTTAGTATTTCCTACTTTACAATAGGGATTTACAAACCAACCCTGAAAGATAGAGAAACTATAAGAATACTCATTCTACAAATAAGATCAAAGTCTAGTGACTAAGGGTACTACAGTTTAGTAAACTTCCTAATAAACAGCAGGTCTTTGTATTACTTTTACTAATTCTATGTTTTTATCCTTTTAAATATACTTCTCTGGTCATGGAACAGTAGTATAATCATTTTTATAAATCAACTTAACATACCTTAATCAATAATGCTGATTAGACCACCTAAAAACTTGGCTATAATTCTACACAACAACCATTTTTAGAATGTGAAATTAACAGCAAAATTAGCCAAAATACACTAAATAGATAAGCCCACTTTAGAAAAGTGTTACACAATAGGCAAACAATTAAGTTTCCAAATATTGCAAAAATTTTCAGTTTTAACTTCTTAAACTTTCACATTGTACTTGTCATATTTAAATTCATTAAATAAATTTGATTGATGAATTTCTTAATAATTTTAACAAGATCAGATAAGTGCTTTATGTTTCAACACAATTAATTAGTTAAGAGGTAAATGTTCCATTTTTAGAATTTTAATAAGGTGATATGCAAAAGAATGTGGGAAGTATTAACTAAAGTTTACCAAAAAACTTAACACAGAAAGCCAAGGAATTGGAGATGTTTTATAGTATACTATGTTGGATTTTATAAGATAGACATGATACTTTTTTAAGGTGTGATATTAAAATGATGTTTCTTTCTTTTGCCTCATTCCAAATAATTATACAATAGTGATGAAATAAAATGCTTACAGGTTTGTATCTCAGAGCATCTCTGTAGGATCCAAACAAAGCAGCCTGTGCCCTAAGAAAGGCCCTAGCTAGTCCATCACCAGTAGCTGTAGACTGTTTCTTCAGTTTATTTTTCAAGGCCGAGACCTGCATGACAGAGAAGAACAGTTAAATTAACACCTCAGAAATTGGTACAGTGAGGTACGAACCCAATCAGCAGGCAAACCACAGTGTCTGCAGGTCAGCCAAAAATTCATCCTTCTTCCTGATAGCTTATCTTTTTAACTGCAGCGAGCACCTGCTGGTCTGTTAATTGAAACCAAAGCAGGAGTGAATAGTAACGTGCTAATGCAAATTGGTTTATGCTCTCTTTTTTTTTTTCCCAAGGTCTCTTGACATAAATAAGCTTTAATTATTTTACAGTAAACTGCTTGTGAGCCACTTTTCTGCAGACTTTTAGCAATTACAACATGTGTCCACTTGTTTTGAGGTGAAGCTCATTGAATATAGCTCATTTCTGCTATGTAAGGTTATTTGTTGTGGGTTCTTCAGGATCACTTAGAATTTTATTTTACTTTTGGAAGCTTCATTTGCATATGTAATTTTCCAGTCATTTGTTGACATATTTTGTCATTATTAGGAAAAAAAGAGGGAAGAAGAGATAAACTTATTGAGACTGTACCATGAGTGGAGAATTATGTTCTGCAAATGTTACACATTGTCTCATTTAATATTCACAATAGTCTTCTAAGAAAAGAATTCATATCCCATTTATGAATGAAGAGATAAGAGGTGCAAAGACATGAATTAACCTGCCCTCACTATGTAGCTAATAAGAGGAAAATATATGATATACACTTTCTTTCTAGTTTTCAGACTACCACATGCTGGCCTTAAGTTCAATGTCACTATATCATAAACCAGTAATCAAAAAAGTACTAATGCTTTTAAATTAAGAAAGATTCATCTAGGAATTTTTATGATTTTAAAAGTCACCTAAATGTGTTATCATTTTTCAGACATATTCCATCCTTTAATTTCAAGTGCTACGCACTTTAGAGAACAATATTATCAGATTAATGTTTAAATGAATTCTACTCCTGATGTAAACTCATTTTTTTGAGTTTTGTAACATGCTCCTATGCATCAAATTCACTTCAATTTCTTTCACATAAAATGGAAAACTATAGTCTTTATATTTAAAAATACTGATCATCATATACAATCCCCATCAATGCTTAAAACAGAAACGTGAAACTATGTAACAATTTTGTTTTCTTAATAAAAACTGAGACAAATTCCAATTGGATTCCTCCCTTAACAGAGCATGTTCTTACTGTATGAAACTACCAGATAATAAAATAATGTCATTTATCCTTTACACATATATGCAAAAAGGAATATTTTTATTTCCTTATGCAAGTAGTCCTGACTAGTCTTGTAGATGATGATTGTAATTGAAGTGTCAACCTAATTAACAACTAAACTTTGAATAATTCTAATGAGAAATGAGCACAGCATCAGAGGAAAGAGCAGCTCTACAGGTGATAAACCTGCACAGTGGTGACATTTTCCAGTGTGAAGTCACAGTTGCTGTGATCTGATCAAAGAAACAGACCCCCATTGGGTCCAATTATAACCATAGTTTTGAAAAAATTATTGAGTTATGATGTTCATAATCTATGCAGAAAGGCCTTTGCAGTATAGGTCTTCTCCCCATAGCTGTGATCTTTTCAATTTATATCGAAGCTCCATAGATTCAGATAAAAGTTTAGAGCCTAATTCATTTAGCCCACAAAGTGCATATACCAGGATTCATTTAAGAGGGAATTTTTAATATTAAAATCTAACCTCAATAAATGAACATTTTTAGGTAATCCACATATCCAAACAATAATACAGTTGAAGGATACAAAAATAAATCTTCTGTCTTAATGCTCTTTATTCTAGTTTGAATAATATTATTTTTTTTAAGTTTCAAATGGTTTTAAAATACAAAACAATAGAAATGAATATCAGGGCACATATTTAATTACTATCCCCAAAATATATTACGATGGAAGGAAAAGAAAATGTTCTTAATTTTTAGAAATATTATTTAACCTAAATAGGTTGGGGAATTTTTAATTTTTGCTTTTAAAAATTAAAAACAAATAAGTCATGCTCTATGTGTGCAAAAAAGTGTACTTTTTAATAAAATAGGAAATTGACAATTTAGCTCTCTATAAATCAAGCACACATTATTCTTTGAATAAGCATAATACTTTTGCTCACAGGCAATGGAATCAAGTGTACCCACCCCTCTGGTTTTACTCCATTATGCCCTTGACTGCATGACTGTTGCTTGAGCTATCCAGGAGTATCAATCTCACAATCCCTTCCTGACCAAATCATAAACTTTAACCTTTACTTTTAGTTACCCAGTCATAGTTTCTAAGCTTTGTATGAATGTACAGAAAATGAAAAGAAAATATGTGTTCTAGAACTGCACTGTCCAAATGAAATGTCATTCATCCAAACTGAGATTTACTCTAAGTGTAAAATAGAAACTATTTCATGAATAATTTTTATATTGTTTATATTTTGAAACAGTATTTTAAGTATGGGATAAATAAAATATATCACTAAAATTAATTTCATCAAATTCTTTGGAATTTTAATGAGATTAAAAATTTTAAATTACATATGTGGCTCACATTATATTCCTATTGGACAGTGCTTATTCTTCATGAGCATTCCATCTAATTTCCTACAAATATGTGAGATTGAAAATAGCAATAAATATGGTTCCCTTTTTCCTGTGTTATTTATATATTATTTCAACTTTTACAAACTACATCAACATAAACTAGAAGATTTCAACTGTTAGTGCCTATAGATCTGAGGTTGTTCCTGTTTTTCAGAGACCAGAAAAGCAGCTGAATAAACTGCTTTTATATGAGACAATGAATGCTCAAAAATAGTCTGTAAAACTGAAATTGTTTTTAAAAATCAATTTTAGATACAAAGATATCAATCTCACATAAAATGATTATGTCAACTTTACTGTTTTCTCTTCCTTTAGGTCACTGGAGTAAATTATCACCCGTTACCATTGCCCTTTGCAGCACTAATTAGCTTTTATCAGTTTTTATCTATAAAAGGATGGTGTTTCTTCTGCACTTTTTCAATATGTGGTCTGAGAAATGACATTTTATGATTTAATTTCCAAACTTGTACATTTAGTTGGGAAAAAATTGTGTATGTTCCCATGAATTCTATATACTTAAATATAACTCAGAATTTAGAAAAACATTTGAAATCTTAGTCATATGGCTATTATCACATAATCCTATTAATAATGAAAAAGTATCAATTGTCTTGTTTTATTATTTTTGAAGTTAAGTTACTTGGGGCATGCACTTGAAAGATACTCAGGCTCTGGCCTTTTCCTGACTCTTCATCATAAAGCTACCAAGAGGGAAGCCATTTCCTCTGCTACTTGCTCCTATGGAGACTGAAACTTCTGAAATCATGAGCTAAAATAAACATTTCCTCTTATAAGTTGTTTATCTCAGGTATTTTGTTACAGTGCTGGAGAGCTAACTAACACACCACTTCAAACTCAAGGTCATAACAGTGTCAATTTCATTTATTCTGTTGTTCTCAAAGGAAATTTTTAGGTCCTCCTCAGCATTTTACCCTTTCTCATCCCCATAGGCAATACTTCACCAAGGCTTGTCAATTCTACCTCTGATATACTTTTCAAAGTCTGTCCACTTTTCTCTAAATTCTTGTATTACCAGATTCAAGTAACTATTATCATCTTTCACCCTGACCACTGCAAATGGTTTTCACAGATCTATCTGCTTTATTTCTTAAACTCACAGTGATCTTCCAGACCTAGAACCCAAAATGATATTTTTTAACTTCAAATAGATGACACTATTCCTTTGTTAAAAACTGTCACTGAATTTTCAATAAAGTCCAAAGGTCTATTAAAGAACCATAGTCCCTTCTGATCACTCCTGCCTATCTCTACCATCTCCTTTTGCATAACTCTTTTACTTATCACACAACCTAGAGGGCTTCTTTCCATTTCTTGAATTTGCCAACCTCTTCACCATGGCCCAACTTTTGTAAATGCTTTTCCTCTTCCTCCTTTGCTTGTCTGTTTGACTCATACCCACCATTCAGGCTACTTCTGAAGAAAGATAATCCTGACACACTGAGCTTAGCTGTACCACAAACACTGTGGACTAGTAAGAATAATATGTCAGTTCAGCTAAATTATTTTCACTTTAGTTTGCTGGTAGCAGAAATGGGGCTGTCAGTCCACAAACATTTACTCTTCTTTTCTTTGGTAATGTAAGTCTTAAGTTTTAAATATTACATAGTTAAGACCCAGCTATTTCTCAACATCCCTTGGTGTGGCCATATGGCTGGATTCTAACAAAAGGGATGTGAACTGAGGAATGTGACACTTTCAGGCTATGCCCTAAAAGGGGTATGAGTGCCCTTCCCTGGATTTCCCCTTTTATTTGAGGGCAAAGAGTAGTGGAACAGCTACCTTAACCCTGGAGATGAATGCCATGTGTGAAGGATAGTAGACACCCCACAGCTCTGAACAACTTTCCTCTTATTTATTACACAACAGAGAAAAAAAACTTCTATTTTTATCTAGAAAAGGGTGTTTAGAGGTCTCTATTACAGCAGCTTAGTCTGTACCCTAATAAATATGTCATCTAAAGAAGAGACAAAGAGTACAAAAGGATATGTGACAGATATGAAATAAGAATATAGACCAAGCCTCTGACTGCTTACATAGTTTCTCAAACAGGTGCTGCTGAAATCCCACCCTCAATGCAACTGGTACAGCATCAGGGGGTTGTCATGCTTTAACAAAAAAACAAACTTCAGGCTTACAGTCTTTACTGCTGTGGTATACAAGGAGAACATCTGAGCTCTCAAGAGCCTGTACATTACCACAAAAGACATTTACTTGCTACACAACAACTGCAAACGATTTTCTCTGTATCAATGAGCCTAGAACAGGTCCAGTCTACCAATCTCACCCTTAATCTAAATTAGAATCTCCTTGTTTTTCTCTTCTACTACATTTTTTCCTTTCTTTTACAACATTTGACCCAACTTGTAATACTAGATAA